TAATACAAGTTCATATACAGACGGGGGGACTGAGGAGGCGGGAGGATGTGGGGTGCGACCATCTTAAAGATGTTCTCGGTTACTGTTGGTTCTCACTTTTGTACAATTTGTCAAAGTGCTAAAACAATATAAACATATAATATATATTTTTTCAGAGACAGAGAAAAATATATGTATCTCTTTATATTTGTATTATATATATATAGTATATATACAAATATGTATAACTACACGTGTTTATATATAATGATAAATATACGTGCCCATATATGGCTATACATTGATCGGGGGGAAATGGGTTGGTAGGATGCTTCCCCAGACTGATTGACCAAAATATATTAGAATATTATATCAACATATAAGGTACATGGGGGGCATTGACATATCCTTCCATGGGGCCTTTAATTCCTGGTAGCGCCCCTGTATAGTATATATAAATATATACATGAATTCATGTGAATAAATATATATATACAAATATGTTACTGCATTTTTGTTTTTTTAGTCTTTTCAGAATTTTTTTTTTTCAATGAATGAAAACAAATTTAAGTTGCTGATTAAAGTCACAATATGTAATATATATTGAATACCAGGTCAGTAACCAGATGGTTAGCCGCTATTATAATTGTATTAAATTGATTAAATCACAGATTTAACCAAAAAATAAATACAAGTTGAAATGAAATTTGTTTTGTTTTTTTCAACAACAGTTGAACCGTTTACTTAATGACTCATTTGGTTGTTATTTATATCCCAATCATATTTGCAATAAATACTCGCTGTGACCTTTCACCCCTGGCATTTAGTTGGTGTAATTGGTTATGACGGAGACGAGTGTAAAGGATCACAGAGACAAAGAGATGAGGAGAGCAACGCGGAGGAACCATCAGAGGAAATGTCAAAGGTAGAAGGTGAGAAGGGTGTCGACACACACCCACACACACTTTACCTCGTCTCTCTCTCTCTCTCTCTCTCTCTCTCTCTCTCTGCCTCCTCGTTCACACATTTCCTCCCAATCCCTGACCTGACTTCCTGTTCTCCTGTTCTTCCTCTCATCAGACTTTCTGCTCCACTGTCACTGTGTGAAGATAATGAACCTAAAAATTGACAAGACAATGACCCTCCGCCCCCGCCCCCCCCACCCCAGCGGGCAGTTGATTGAGGGCGGGGTCAAAGGATGGAATTGTTGTTTTTTTTTAATAATGATGTATGGATCATTTATTATAATGACTTAACTAACACGTAGTCTGTCTCTGAGGATGCCACCTGTGGATTTAACTCCTATTAATATTATCCAACTCCACAGTAAAATTTGTTTTATTTTATGTGTTTATTGTTGGTAGAGTAGTGTAAGATCGGATGATTTTGGTCTTTTAGTCTAAAGATAAAATATCTGTGTCTCCATCAAACCACCTGACTTCCAGAGGAGCTCCTCCCACTTCAGATGAAACCACTGTGATGGCTGTGACTGTTAACTAGAACCCTGGTCAGCGTTAACGACCAGCCTCCTTCCATCGATCGCTCATGTCAAATGAGGAGCTTGTTAATTTTTATCCATCTCTTGACATTTGATCTTCCTCTCAGCTCCTGATGAGGAGGACGGGGAAAAAATCTCTGCTGTCGTCCAATCACATTAAACCTGTAAAAATAATCCACTGATAACTGGAGTAAACCAGTCTGAGATCAAATATACCTCTGTGCTGTAATTAGTAAAACCCATGATCCTCTTTCACCTTAATCTGGTTCTCTTTAAGCCTCATATTAACATTTATAACCTGAAAAATTAGTTCCAGGGATTGAAGGCATTTTTCATAGAAATACACAACTGAAGCAACAATGAACTCTAATCTTTTCAATTTGCTTTGGAGCTGCTGTTTTACAGAACCAACAGTTGGTTTAATCATTTTATTTTATTATGAGTTAAACCCTAAAGGTATCTAAAAATCCTCATCTGAAATTCTTTGATCCATTAAAATATATAAAATTTGAATATATTAACATAAGGTAAAAAGATACTTTTTAATTTCATCTTCTGTTATTTTATTCTCGCTAAAAGTAAAAAAAAGTTAAACTAAGTTCAAATTTAAGGAAAACAACTCCACTAAAAATCATCTGTAATGGTGGGGGGCCTTTTTAAAGTCTATGATTTGCAGCACTTTGTCCCAAACCTAAAAGTGACAAAATGTCAAAGTGTGTAAAAGCCCACACTGATGGACTGCTGACAGGCCGTAATGAAAGTGCTGCCAATGACGGCTGTTGAAAAGTTAGGATGGAGAGAATATTCCGTCTGATCATTTCCATCGCCTCAGCACGGCTGGAGACGGAAAAGACCGGGAATAATTCCACATCAGATGGAGCAGAATATGTTTAAAGTATCATAAGGGAGTAAGGGAATCTTCAGTTCCTTGATTGGTTCTTTTAGGTTCTGTTATACAGTATTTCTATGACCTTTGACCTGCAGTAAATTAATTTGCAATTTGTTTCCTCGTGAATTCTGATGTTTTCATAAAAAAACTAAATTTAATGTTTACATATATAGATATATAAACATATATACACACATATACAGATATATGTATACATATATGCACATATATACATACAAATATAGATATATGTACATATATATAGATATATACATACGTACAGTAGATAAGTATGCATACATTTCAAAACTTTCTCCTTCTGGTCACAAAAACATGAACTCAAAACAAAAAGGGAATCCATTTGTCAGAAGAACTAATACTTGGTAGTAATCAGCAGTAGAACCAAATATACTGTTGAGGAAATACATTCTTGCTGCTTCCCTCAAAATATGGGCTGAAGTTTACAGTCATTATTGGTTTCACACCAGCCAGCCTTATTACGTGTGTGTATGTGTGTGTTTGATAGGCTGCACAGCCAGATAATAAAGTTGATGGATTTTTCTGCCTGTTCCATATGCACTTCAAGTTAATTGCCTGTCACAAATTTGTTCCGCTCACAATTAATGGATTTCGTTTCCACATCCTGATTGAAAACAATAGAGCGACTCACCTGTGGCGGCAGAAACGTTTCTCTTCTCCTGTTTGATGATCTGGTTACATTCTTCCTGAGCTTTCATGTGTTGAACCACCAGGGCACAGTCTGGATGGATGGCTTCAGTCTGGGGACAGCAACAGAAGCAGACCATGGAACCAAACGGAAACAGGAAGATTTGGCCACATTTTAAAGAATTAGACTTCTTTTTTGGTCACATACAGAGGGGTCCTCATCTACATCAAGTCCATATACGGAACCATACAGGACTGCACAAGATTAATTTGCATAATTTTGTTAATTTCAATAAAACACTGACAGCTGACAGCTTTGACAAGATGAAAAAAGTAAAAAAATAAACAGCAAAAAAAGAAGCACAGTAGACAAAATACTTTTTTTGTGCTACAGTAAATTGCTCATTTTTATGGGACAATTTTTTTCTTTGTTAAATTATATATGTATATATGTGTGTGTATATACAGTATATATGTGCATATATATGTATATATATATGACATATATATTTATGACATATATATATATGACATATATATATAAAAAAGTGAAGTATATATATATGTCATGTGAAGTATATATGTCATATATATATATATGACATATATATATGTCATATATATATATGACATATATATACTTCACTTTTTATCCTGTTGTAAGTCGCTAAATTCATAAATGTAGAAGTAAATATAAATATATAAATATACACATATAAATACACACACACACACACATAAATACACACACACACATTTGTATGTGTGTGTGTGTATATACACAGAAAATGTGCATGCCCCTTGGCCCACAGAGGTATCGGCTGATGGCGATATTTAGAAGACACAACAACATATCACAGGTAGGAACGTCGTAAAAGGCGCCTCGTCTCCGTCATTTGATGCTGTTCACACACAAACACGCCCTGTGGTCTGTTTGATAGTAAAGCTTGACTTGGCCTGTTCTCAGATGGAGGTAGTGGCATATAAATCATTTTCCATTGTTTCCGACGTACACCAACTACAGAGCCGAGCTTCTGCCAACTCTGCTCTGTTTTCTTAGACCATCTCATCCAACCTTTCACATCAACACCACCAGTTTGTTGGCACCAATCTCTTTGGTCTTTGCTTTACTCGGACATTTTGCCTCAACGCCTTATTCTGCTCACAGACGGGAGAAATTTATTTCGATTTTGGAAAACCATCTGGGTTTTGAAACAGTACCAACATATTTGTCTCCTCCAACGTGGAGACTCTGCAGATGCTAATGAATTCCAGTCTCTAATGAACAGCCATCAGAAGGCTGTAATGTGGGAGTTCAGTGACATCTTCTCCGTGTTGTGACATCTGCACTGACAGAAAGCCTCTGCTCTTCAGGTCCTCTGAAGAACACCAGGACGAGAGTCAACACATCAGACTTGAAAGACTCTCAGAAGATGATTAAAAAATCCTCTCGTCAAGTCAAAAGTATATATATTAGAAATTAATCAAATATAAATTCTAAAAGAGACCCAACCCTGTGGCCAAATGTGGGATAAATGATGTCACTGAGCAGAATTAATAGAGAGGATAACTGCAGTAATTAGTTTGACATTCACTGATTTTTTAGACGATGATCTAAATGTGAAAACCTACAATTTTTCAATGTACAGTAAAAGATGATCTAATACTACAACCTAAGATAGACGCTGATACGAGGACCTAAAGTGAGAAAAAGCAATAACAATATTTTCAGTGTGTTTATACTCAGGCAGGACCAGGGACCTGTGAATATTTTTAAAGTTTATATAAAACTGGCAACAACTGAAACACCAACGATGTAGTTTCATTGTGATGAGAAACAGTCATATCTGCTGTAGGTTCAGGAAAAGGACCGACTTTTATTAAAGAAGCTGCAGGAGATGCAGAGCGAAACCTGATCCAATAAAGATGGGCGGCAGGAAAAAACACTTTTCCCACTGTGGTGTTGTTATGCTGTAATATAAAGACAACTGCAAATACACGAAAAGGCAAAGCGCCATCTGCTGCTTATTTAATCAGAATCAGGAAAACTGGAATTGTTAGTTTTAAAGCCGAAAAAGATTATATTAAGAGAAGAAAAAGAAAACAGAAAAAAATGTAGTGTATATATATACGTATATATATATTTATATATTTATATATAAGTATATATACTTTTAGATTTCAAAATAAATCAATTTGTAACATCAAACTATATATGTATACATAATATACATACACACATAAATGTACTGTATATATACATATATACGTTTATATGTATCGCTTTGTACATAAATATTAGTTAATCAATTTTTACGCTCAACATTATCAAATATTTTTTTCACATCTTTTTTTACTTCTTTTTTTGTTTTTGATTCCTCATTGAGTGGTTTAACCTGTGAACCTCTTCTTTTGTCATTTCTCTATCGTTTAGACAGAGCTGCACCTGGAGAATAATGGAGTCAGACGAAGTAAATGATATGTGAGCGAGAGGCTGCGGCACCATCTGAGCGTGCACTTTAATTATTGGCAGGCCCCATTTGAAATGGCAACAGTTTACGTGGCAGTGGTGCCATTTAAATTCAATCACATTCTTAACCCAGTCATTATCGCAGATCGTGCGGCGCCTGAAGGCAACCTTTACTGAGCCGTCGTCATTTACATTCCAGATTTCAGTCAGATATTAAGGACGAGTGAGCGCTGATGCCGTTACTCTGTGAACATTTAGGAAACGTCTCAGACGCACAGAGGATTGTTCTGGTAATTTGTTAGAACTACCCATTTTTTTTAATGGACTTAGATGAAAGGACCAGCCTTGTGATTGGATGATGGAGGACTGCTGGTTGGAAATCAGATTCAAATAACAGCAATGCTGTGTAATTTAAGGGCTTAATATACAAGTTTTTAGTTGGTTTGTCGGGCCATTAGTTTTATCACTAAAGATTTAAAAAATAATTCTAAAAAGTCAATAGTTCGTCATTGTGATGCAGCACACCACTAAGCACAATGAATGTGACCGCTTTGAACCCAGTCATTTGTACTAGGAACCAGGGAAGGTACCTGGTACAAGTAACTAAGATTTTTGTTCCATTAACTAAGGAAAGTATACATCCCTGGAACCAGTAAATTGAAGTAAATCTATATTTTCCAGTCATCTGTGCCACAAACTAGGGTAGTTTCCAGTTTCTAGTAAAAATAATATAAATTATATTTAACATTTATTTCAGTAAAAATGGGACATCTATTTTTTTCTCCTTTTTTATCAGTTAAAACTTTAAATGTTAAAGGTTGTTTGTATTTTTGTGTGTAGCTCTTATTCATGACATTGCAGTGAACAAATGACTCTAATCTATCAATTTAACACAAATGCTGCACTAAACCTCATTTTGGTTCCCACACATTTATTAGAGACCTAAGTTACGTCGACCAAAATAAAATCACTGCCCCCACTTCCCCCCATCAGTCCACAGCTTGTCTTACTTCAGATCAATCTTTTCAGAGAAATCTTCCGCACCATTGTTTGTTCTCACTGGTTCACCATCACTCAATAATGGCACCACAAATCAAATGACCACCTACAGCTTGGACAGAAGCCCCCGGGGCTGCACCGCTCACTGCCACCAGCAGGATAAAAATGGATCTCATTTTCACAATTTTGTTTCTGTGCTTGAGGTTTTAAGGTCTGATCCGGAGGAGCCTCCGAGGACTAACATTTAGGATCACGACTAATCATGAGTAATCATTACAAATACGTAGCTATCTTGTGATAAATTCAAATAAATATTTAACGGTCAGTGAGGTTGTTAATTTTGATGTCCTTCATCTCCTCCCCTTTCCCCCCAACCCCCAGTCTGAACACCAATGTTACACAACTATTACGACTCAACAGGTCAATAAGTGACATCAGGAGCCCATCGGGCAGTCACCAATAAAATGATCTAATGAAAAGGCCTAAGGATTAACAGGAGCATTTAAGTTCCCAGAGGCAATCAAAAGTGCCGCGGAGTGTCGGCAGAAGCTGCTAATAAAGGCAGGGACAACAAACACCAGGATCAGGACGGACACGCAACAGGCGCCAAATCCAGGGATAAGCCTTTGGAAGATGAGGAGAGGGAAATGCCTCTACAAAAGCAGTAAATCCAGATTCAGATGGTGATAGTGCTGCTCATAAAAAAGGATTCCTCCTTCTGGTGAATTTGCAGCAAGGTGTGAATTTCAACAGCAAACATAAAGCAGACGAAGGTTTGAGTGAAAAGAAAAAGAGAGAGAAATGTCAAGGACCACAGTCAGCTCTGAGTCATTCACAGGAGACGCGGCTCAAACTATTTATAAAGATCATTTATAGCGTCGGCCTACTTTACAGTTTTTTCTCAAACAACTTTTGAAACATAAAGAACTTGATTTATTACTACTGCTGACTTTCTATTCTCCCATTTAACCACCCAGACAGGAACAGTGAAGTCAAAGTCAGAGTCATTACAGCGATCTGCCTCCATCCATCTGCCTGATAATCATTATTAAATATTCAGCACTGAATTTCAGTCAAGTGATCCCCAGAGGTTTGATTCCGCTCCACAATAACTTGTCCATTTATTTGTGTACTTGTTGTGATTAAACTCAGATAACTAAAAGGCATCGGCTCGATATCTGCAAACAGCCACACAAACATCATTATCCTGATTCATCCTGCTCTTAATTGGAGATTTACCCTTTCATTGTGACTTGGACGAAATGTTTCATGGGTTCCCGCAACACCAGGAAGCCGTTGTAGCTGCTGGAGTCAATGACTGGTTCAAGGTCGTCACTGGATTTCAGCAAATATCAGGTAAAAAGGAGGATAAATCATGATGTCGAGATGACCACAAGTATGGCTGCTCCAAATGATCTAACAGATCGACGAAGGTCATCCTGAATGTAATTAAATTCATTGTAGCTATGAATGAAACTGCTGTGAACTCCTGTACATGTAAATCAAAAGTTTGCATCAGGCAAAGCAGAAACAGTTTAGAGGAAAAAAATATATTTAAATTTAAACTTAAGTGGAAAACAGAGTTGAATGATTTGATGGATGGGATCAACAAAAAACATCTATCTAATGATGGCATCCATCCATCCATTTATCCATCCATCCACCCACCCACCCATCCATCCAGCCACCCATCCATCCATCTACCAACCCATTCATCCATCCACCCATCCATCCATCCATCCATCCATCCAGCCAGCCATCCATCCATCCCTATTTTTTCTTCTTCTCCCTGCAGGTGTTGCCACAGCTGATCGTCTGCCTCCAAATTTATCTTTACGACTTCTGTCATTTTAGTCCAGCTCACTTCCTCTTTTTCTCCAGTTTGCAGCTCCATCATCATCATCATCATCATCATCATCTACCCACTCCTCCGAGGACATGTCCAAACCAATAAGCTTTGTTCATCTATCTCCAAACAGTATAACCTGAGCTGACCACACTGATTGCACCCCCCAGAAAATCACCCTTCATCTCTGCCACCTGTAGCTTATTATTACTGACATCAATTTTGCTATATTTTAAAGCATTTAAACAAATATAATTTAAACCAATGTTCTTGATCCACACGACAGTTTAGTGGACACGACCTGTCTTCTAAATCCACAGAATCTGTTGTCAAACCGTATCTGCCTATATTCTGTCCAACAAATATCAGTACTCACTACTAGAGCTGCTGGTGTCAGGTCTACCATCGTCGCTCTTTGTTTTTCAAAATCCTCAGATATGAGTGTTTATTACAGGTGAGGGAACACAATGCTAAAATTATGCCCAAAACAACTATGAAATTGATGGTGGTTTCAGCAGCGTGAAACTAGCAGTTTTGCATAAAAAATAAATATATTTTCCCAGAAGGCACCATTCTTGTTTGTACACCGAAACAGTAAACAGTCGGGAAGGCATAATATTTAGTGGAGGTCATTTTGACACTCTCGTCATAACATTCCAGCCGCGCGCATGAATAAAACATATTCTTCTTTAAAATAACCATGTCTATCTGGACCACGGTGGTTATCTGTAAATAAAGTGGTTTGAAAATGGGTCTAGATGTAATTCTGAGCATGTTTTTCTAAAAGGTAAATTAAAGCTTTATGAATAGATGGAGAACTTGTTTTAAAAATATCTGGGGTCAAATCCATTTGAATAGAAGGACGGAAAAAAGGAAAAATAAAGTTAATCTTTATCTTGCCTAGCTTCGGGTATTATTTGGAAAATGGTTTAGTTTAGTACTAACATTTATTTCATAAATGCCACGTTTGTTCTAATTGCAATATTTGGTTGAATGATTTTTAATTGTTTTGCTTGCACTAGTGGGGATTTCATTATGAGTAATTCAGTTATTATCTGTTAGTTTTCATGTGGATGTATTTTTTTTTTCTACTTGTTCAGCTTATTGCCAATTTGGAAGGTTTAAACAGAATTCAGAATCTCATGAAAACTATTCACTTATTGAAAGACAAGTCTAACAGATTCCAGGGCTGGGATATACACCAAGAACGACGCTACAAATCTGGCCACAGGTGAAGCCGAATATTCGGACAGGACTCACCGTCTCCCAAAGAACCAGCTGCAGAAACAGACTCGTGCAGAGCATCGCAGCCGTCAGCCTCAGTGCCGAGCCCCCAGACATCGTCCTGCTGCGAGATCCCTCTGGTCTTGGTTCACTTTCACCAGTGCGCACAACAAGTGTCTGCAGTGGAATGAGTCTGTTGTTGTCTTCCAGGCGTCACTTATGTCATCCCAACACCTACACACCTGCGCTAACCTTGAGAGTCAGACTCCACTACCTCTCTTACTGTCAGCCGCACAGAAAGCTCCGCATTACGCGCGGAGGAGATCCGGGAGCCGCTGAGCCAAAGGCGCTGTGCGCTCCTCCCCTTAAAAGAAAGGCACAGACGCAGCCCAGCACTGCGCAATGACGCACCACAGCGTACGAGATGCACCTTTAACTGCGGGCACTGCCCCACAGGAGCGCAGTTGGACAGAGGAGCGGTGCTGTTGTTGGCTAAATATGTCTATTTGATGTCCTCCCGCACCGCTGAGCGTGTTTTTTGTTTATACCAACGTGCGCGCATCGTGGCCCACTTCTCTGGATGAGAGCAATTTTAAAACCATCATCATCAACTGTGATCAAACAGCCTGAAGGAAACATCAAAAAACCAAATAGGACGTGGCTGAAAGCTGCAGAACTCATCACGTATATTAACCTTTTTTGGGGGGGGAGAAAATTCATTTTAATTTGTGTGCCATTTTCAGTCATTTCAAAAACCGAGAATTTCTATAATATACTAGAACCTTTGAGAATAGTAAGCAATTGAGGGAATAAAAAAAAGGAAAGAAAAAAGTACAGTGTATTCTTTTCTTCTTTTCTTCTTTCTTTTCTTACAAAGTCAGACTTTGTGTCGGTAATAAATTGCTGTTTTAGAATGACCATATAATTTTAGAATAATCATATCAATTTTTTTAGGGATAGGGCCGATATTAGTATTATTGTGTAAGAAACGTTATCGGTTTTTCCTCCGATAATAAAAACACGATAATGCAATGCCAGGGTTTCGCCCAGATGATGTGACCTAAAAATAGTTTTGAAGTGAAAGTGAAAGCGAAAGTCAATTGCAGTCATTGCAACACAGCACTCCAGTGCATACACTGTCTTCGTTTAACTCGTTTCCTTAAACTTCGTTTAAGATTGCTGCATATATTGGTATTGGTTAATATCGGAATTGGAAATTAAGTGTTTGGACAATATTGGCATATCAAATGCATCAGCATAAAGTTAACATCGGACATCTCTATAATTTTTACTTTAACATTAATTCAGCACATGTGAATAAATGGCACAAAACCTGTGGTCTGTGTCCATAAAGACCACCGTGCTGTGGAAGAGTGGTCATAGCTCTTGTCTTACACTAGGAAAACTACAGCTCTCTCTCTCTTGCTGACTGTGGATTTCTTCCAAATAAGCACCAGGTCACCTGTCAAGAACAAATCGAGTAACTCTAAGATCTAGCTAGTTTTTCAGCTGACATTCATGATCAGGGCGGGTTTTTTCCTGCTCTGTAAGTGTTGCTGTGAAGGCCAACCTCCAAAGTAGAGCAGACAGCAATCAAAGAGAAAGAGAAGCTATGATAGAGGCGTTTAATTGCAGTGGGAGAACTATGAATTTAACTGCACCATAAATGCTCTCATAATTATAGCCTGTGTAATAAGACATTATGGAGATGGGATTGTCCGTATATGAAAGCACTGACTTGGACTCCTGTCCTCTGCACTGTCTGCTGTCTGAACATCCACTGGTCCAGTTTGTCTCTTCTCTACACAAACAAAACAAAAACTTGCTCAAATGCACAACAAAAGTCAATTCAGGGAATGTGACTGACAAGTTCCAAATGCACGCGTCCGATGGTGAACATAAGAGTGAAGGAAAAATCTCAGACAAACGAATAAACTACATAGGGTCATGGTGTATACTGTACACAATAGTCCCACGTTATTGACTTGGACTGTTGTTTGTCCTCCAGTGTTCCTTCATGAACCGACGCTGCCACCTGGACTGCATTCCTACTATACTGTGTTTGCATCTCTCTGTGTGTGTGTGTGTGTGTTTGTGTGTGTGTGTGTGTGTGTGTGTGTGTGTGTGTGCATTGTTGTTGTTGTCACCTGCTGTGTCCAGCTGAATGTCTCCAGACCATGCAGAGAGGTTGAACTGTGGGACGATATCGATGGACCAGGGTTCATCCAGATGTTTCTCAGCATCTCTGGTATCATCTGCAGTACACCGAACAAAATTACAGTAAGAGGATGAAGTAGAAGTTTTTTATCATCCACCAAAAAAAAAGTTTAAGAACGGCTGATTCAGTGTGTTTAAATAGAAATATAGGTATAGGAAGGGGTTGGGGAGAGTAACCACCTATCAGCTAAGCTGTGGTCAACAGAAGAAGTGCAACATTTGGACAACATACTGTAGGACCTCAGTATTTTTAGCCTGACATAACCAAAACAAAGTATCTAAAATAAACTCGAATTAAAGATAGGGTAAGGAAGCTTTAAAGACCGAAAGCTGGTTTAATTCCATTTCCTGTGAGAAAAGAAACCCTTGTGTTATTCATCCAGCATATTTTCACATTTACCTTCACCTCTTCACCAGGTCAACCTTTGACCTTCCACTCAGAGACTGTAATAACCTTTAGCGTCCCCTTCTGGAATTCATCGGACGTTTAATGGAGATGATTTGAATTGTAATACTGCTCAGTGTCACGCTCATGTAGCTTTTAATATGGTGAAATGCTGTTGGAGCCAATTTGTCTTTTAAATCACATTATGATGTTCAGTGATTTCACTAAAAGATCATTTGTCTAAATTTTCATTTTTTCTTCTGTTCTTGTCACTTGGTCTCTTCTATTCTCCTTCTTCCAACAGTAATCACAATTAAACCTACATTCATATTGGATTTCCTTAACCAAAAAGTCATCTAGTTTTATGAACATGAAGCTTTTTATAAATGTAATTCCATTAACATTTAGCAAAAGAAAATAAAAGTTAACCAGAAAAGCTTAGATCTGGCTAAAATTAGTCAGATTATCGCAAACGCTTACATTTTAAAAATATACTCCTGAAACCTCAAGCTAAGCTAAATGTAAGAACAAAGTAGCTAAAACAAACAAAAAGCTAAACAAAAAGATAATCTAGATAATTTAACCACAGGTTAGTCTAATGCTAATTGTTAGCATATTTAAAGCTAAAGAGTTTTCCTACTGAAGTTTCACTGAAATGATCCAACACATTTAATTTAATTATCTACAGCCTTCAGATGGTCATCAGTCACTTTGGTACAAACTTCATCTTAATGCAGTGTACATTGATTTTACTAAATTGGAGTGGATCCAATGTCCCCCTCCCTCATCCCCGCCTTCCCATGACACTGCGAAAGCCATAAGTGGTAGATAATGAAAGTATGGATGGAATCCATCTTTAACTTTTAATGTAATAAAAATCAGTTTGAGAATGATGGATAGGTGTAATTAATTCTTCCAAATATTATCACACAACAAGAAGAGAATCTCTAGTTTGGATCCTGTGGCTTAACGATCTCACCAAGGTCAGATTTAACAGCCTTTACCTGGGAAAGACTATTATGTTTCATCTCACTCAGACAGTCAAGGATGTCACTAAAAGTATCAGAAGTAAAAACCACCCACAGTATCAATGTGTCATTGGCCTGTTGTTAATGGAAATTATGCAACTTTTGAGAAAATGCTGCTTTAAAAGCAATTCTTAACTGTCGCCCACTGATCAAGTCATTTTGAACTTGTTCAGCCAACACTTTTCTTTAAAAGCATAAACTCTCCCTTCAATTTCTGGAACATCTATAAATATAATTAAATATCATTTTTGTTCATCTCTCCTCTCTGAGAGATTATTTTTCTGGTTTTAGTCTAATCACAGCCTCCCTGAGGTAACACTAGAACTAACTACTACGCTTCTACAAGAACAGAGTTATTATAGGAAAACATGCTCTGACTGTTGCAGCAGCGACAGCAGCAGCAGCAGCTCACATTAATACAAATTCAGTAGAACTCTTTTCAGAATAAGATCCATGTTTTCTTCTATTCTCATTATTCTCCACCGAGGCCAGAGTCAGTAAACAGATGCAGAGAAACCTGATGAGCAGAGACACATGACCTGCATGTGTCAGTAGAAGCCAATAAACAGGTGGAAAACAGTTTATCTGAAAAGATGTCTTTGCAAGTAAAAACAAAATCATATTTAAAAGAAAATAAAAAATTCCCTATGTTGATGATACTGATGAAGATTTCAGGTGTATGAGAAGGGTTATCCCCAAATTCCCCAAAGTTAGTAACAAATAGAAATCAATCCATTCATTTCAGCATTGTGATTGTTGTTCACCCAAACAAAAATGAGAGAAGAGCCAAAGACATAAAAACATTAATACAAATTCAATTAAAACCCCAAACGAGCAAAAAGAAAAATGAAATGAATGAAAAACAAAGATTTATTTAATTTTTTAGTTTTATTGCAAAAAACAAGATTTGACCAGGGCTGCAATTGGCCCCCGGGCCACTCTTTGGACACACTAAGTTAACGTAATACCTATTGTGCTAAAGAGCTGGAGAAAGCCCACACACGGGGAGAAACTCCATACAGACAGACCACCAGTTACCACTGGGTTTCAAACCGACCACCGCACTAACCACTGCCCCACTGCCTCACTGTGCTGCCCTACATAAATCCTTAGAAATGAAACATAACATAGAGCCTGCAGCTTGATGTTGGATAAACCCACAGTAGTTGTTGTCAGTGTGAAGCCTGTGTCTCCGTCGCCTCCTCTCTGTTCTGTCTTCAGAACATGGTTCTAATGAGAAGAAGAAAAGTACCTAACGATCTCTGTGGCTCCTGGGTCGTTAATTGATGCTTTACTGTAGCCGCCCCCCGTGTTTACACACATCTGTAAACCATCAGGATTCTTTGTGGCGACTGTTGCTATAGTTTCTGACACATCAGTAGTTCCGACTACGTGAACAAGTCGGACGTCTGCTTTTTCTTCTTCTGATAATGTCGCCTAATTGAAACCGAACTCCTCATCGCTATATGTGAAGCACGTTAACGCCATTCACATTCCGGGCATTAAGGCCAGATGCCATACATTGAAGTGGGCTCTTCATTAGTGGAGTCAATAGACGGCTCACATCATGGCAGAACAAAGACGTCCTCCATCATCAGGAGTATGGACGGAGGGTTGAAAGGTTCTCAAGATAAATCTGCTGATATTCCAGATCACAGCTTGTTTACCTTTTAATGTCAGCACTAATAACCAGGAACTTCATCAGACTGAGATAGGGACACATCCTCCCCCACCCTCACCCCAGGCTGGTAGGGTGACCGGGAGTTTTTTTTTAATGAGGGACAATGTCTTGAATTATTTTATTAATTCAATAATAATTAATTCAGTTGTGTATCTGTACACACAGAATTTTTAATTATATTTCATGACATTCCATAGTCTAAAGTTCTGTTCAAATAATCAATTTACAATGTTTGCCCCGTTTTCCAAACATTCCAACTTTCCACCTCCTCTAAATTCAGGTTAATATAACATATTACGTTAGTTATTATATAACTAAACTCAGCAAAAACCTAAACCTGCCCCACAGCCAGCACTGGCCTGGTGGCTGCTGCATCCACAGACAGTGATTGTATAAAATCATTGATTTTCTTCAGGGACTCTAGTCCAGAAGTAAATATGAAATTTCAGCTTCCACTTGAAAAAGATGTGAAACTCAGGTGACGGAGACATTTGGAGACATTGATTTTTGTCTCAAATCTCTGTCTGCCAAGACAAACAGCAGGTTAACAATGCCATGTCACTTCTATCACTGATGGATGGATTTTTTGGGAATGGGCTCTTGGGGCTTTACATCAGTCTACATGCAGGTTCACTGCAGATGTAGTGAGTATGGAGAGACTGCAGCCTGAGGGGAATCCATTAGTGTTTTCTCCAGAAGAGCCACGTCTCATGTTCCCATTACGGGTTAAACTCATCTCTTCTGCCTTTATTGTGATGAATAAGTCGTCTGACGTTCCCCCAGGGCAGCTTCTCTCCAAGTACAACGACAGACAGACAAATAACTGACAGCCTCAATTATTACCCCGCTTCATTTAGAACTTTTTTCCCCCCCTCAAGTTTAATTTCTTGTATAATGTGCCGGCTGAAGATCCAAAGAAAGGAACAGAGATATGAACCAATCAGAGAGGAGGGATTTGACCTTCTGCAGCTGGACGCTGGTCGGCTGTCACCTTTGTGAACACGTCCCACAGCTGCAGGGGTTTAGATGGATGTGGATCTCTGTCCCACAGGGGTGTGTGTGTGTGACATCCAAATGTCTCATCACATCTAAAGCTCAGCACCTCCTCATCCATTATGACATGAATTAATTTCAGACTCCTGTGTCACGCCGATCCTCTTGTTGTGGTAAAATCGACTGCATTAGAGCCGTGGGTTTGCTTTTAATGACACATTTAATGAGTGTTAATGCTGTTAAATAATGCAGGGACTATGTGACTGCAGAAAGCCCTGACTCTCCAAGGACTAGTGCGGCGTGTGCTTGTGTGTATTCTATGTGTGGTGTCGGTGTGTGTGCATGCCGCCTTAATAAAAATCGACTTATGGAATAAGATGAAGATTTTTGTGGTTATGCATCCCAATGCATTAATGTGGTCTTAGAGTGGACAGAGTCCTTAATGCGAGCTTCAACAAGTCTGGCATTTAAACAGTTCATTAAAACGGCAGGAGAGGGAAATCGACATCAAAACGTCTTCAGAATTCAGAAATGCATTACAACAACGACTCTGCATTTTGGTTAATATCAAACTAAAGTAACAGATAAAACGAAACCTGAGAATCAGAAAAATAAATAAATAAATAAACAACTTCCCCCTCATATTTGTGATGTCAAGAAACATTCTTCTGATTTTTATTAAGGTTCAGCCTTTTTAGTTTGGAATTGCAATTTGATTGGCTCAAGCTCCCCTTCAACTGGTGAATAATACAACATCAGTGTTTTCAAACTAGCATTCAAATCACGCGTTTCTGTTTTGTATACATAATAATGATGACTTTAGTTGAAAATGCTGAGCGTGTAGTCCAAGTTTTGCAGAGTGTCTTACGGGGCTGCAAGTCTGCGTGTTAAAAAACCCAAGGCTGACCCTGCGCTGTTCCTCAAGTGCCAGCGGCTGTTAGAGAGAACGAGATCCATCAGAGGAAACATCTCTGTGAACCACTGCAGAGGTGATCACAGAGAGTGAAGGGGAAAGAGAACACCGGGATCAAAAGGATACAGGATGAAGACAAATATCCACTGAGGCACTGTGTGGAAGAAAAAAAAAGAAAGAAAAAAAGACCTGACATAAGCTGTAAGATCTATGAAGACTTCTGCAGTTCAATGTGAGAGAAACCCAGGTTTATACAGATCACACGAAGCTGTGGCACAGTCAACGTCAAGTAATCAAGGTGAAGTTGGCTCCAGACCTGACGGCTCTTCACAGGAGCCACGTTGAAAGTTTTTGTTGTAATATGATTGGAAAAGACTCTTAGATCACAGTAAGGTGATGGATCAGGAGTGCTGAATAGGAGGGTTTTTTTCAGCTTGTTCATTTTAAGATAAGAGAATGTCACAAAGTGTGTGTCTACTGCAATGAGGTGATTCACAAATGAAAGACAGACAAAAACCTTGGTACAGTACAGGCCCGGGGAAGAAATTGACAGGTTGCCCACTGTGACATCATTAAGAGAAGCTGCGGTCTCTGCACCAGGCCCTCTGTAGTATTTGTACAAGACAAATGCATCAAATAAAAGCTGACAAGAAGGTCTGGTGATCAATAACAGAGCACAAAACTCAAATCATTCAACCATGAACGTCAGGGTTTACAACTGGGTTTTGAGCCAAGGTGTATTTTTTTTTAGTTAGAAAAATCCTACAGTGCACAATTGAACTAGATGTGATGAAAAGTATATGCAATAAAATATAATGATCATCTGAGGTCAACACACACAATTTACTAAGTGTGAAACCTGGGTCTGTTTGGATGAACAAAACACTGATATACTCACAGGAATTGAAGAAAGAATCACACAAAGACAGTCAGTCCCTGTCTTTTTGGTGTTGGTGATATTGACAGGTGTTTTCTATAAAACTCTTCTCCTTTTCCTCCATAGTTGATTGGTTGATCCACTGCTCTCTTCAAAGGTGGTACAATTCCATTTCACAACACAGAAAAAGTTTCATCTGAGGAGGTAAAACTAACACATCAGCCTCTTTCGAAGCTAGGAGAAGATAATCTAAGCTAGGCTAATCCTGGTACCATCTTCATACCTCTTTTTCTATTGGTTAAAAAAGCATCTCTGGAACCACAGAGTTGCATTGCTGCCATCTACAGGTCACTTTCTTTTCTATGGTAAGTGAATTAGTATGTTGAACACATTATCAAACCATTGAGATAAATTACCTTTCATTATTCTGTGTTTTAATTTCACAGAATTTCTGCCTGTTTTTTTTATTTTGGAAAAATAAATACTAGTCATTTTAAAGAAATGCATACGGGTAATATTATGTAATCTACCAAAATAGGTCTGAAAACTTGATATTTTAACACAAATTTTCACCCAAAAATCCAGGTTTGGGAACATCATTTATAGCACTTAAAGAATATACAGTATGACTAAGAATAATCTTTGCCTAAGAACAGATTATGCAACCTGGAATTAAATCCTAGACCTATTGTTTGGAAGATCACCTCAGGTACCCACTGAACCAAAGCAAGCCTGTTTTTTTTACAGAAATGAAAAGAAGGTACTTTTTCAGTTAATAAGCTCAGGTGTCTTAAATATATATTTCAATGGTCTGTATGCTACAGAATGTCAGAATCAGAACTATTAAAGATCCCATACCAAGCGCGCTACGCCACTAAGGTACATTTCAAATGGAATTTTAATTTTATGAAATTCTCCGCTGTACTGCACATTTATCTCAAACAGGGCAGTGATGGAGGTAATAAAGCAACAAACTGACATTCAATTTCCTGAGATAAAATCTGGAGATGATTTAACTCAAGCTTAAAATAAACAGAAAACTTTTTAAATCAGAAACTTTTTTTTCAAGAAATGATAAGGTTTTGGAGAAATGTATCACTACGCAAAACCACATCCATGTCCTGTAAACCATTAGATTTTTCTTTTTTCATCTTTGTCAAAAACAACACGTTTGCCAGTGATATTTCCATCACACACATTCATCCAAAGCTGTGATTGTCAGTTTTTTGGTTCACAATTTAGAGCACGTGTTTTTTTTACATTTTCCTCACACCAGGTTACAAGAATAAAAAGATCATAATTCTTAAATAAAAAACTAGTTTAGCCAAATCTGGACATTTATCAGGATATAAATCACTTAAATTATCATTTTACCCATTATACAAAAGAAAAAGTCAAACAGGAAAACATTTTTTATCAACAAGTGCAATTATCAGCAAAGTGAAGGGTTTTCTAATGCCCCCCCTCAGCGGTATAGGCACATCCTGGGGCTCTGGTACAGGTACATGTAGGCGTCACAGAAGAGACGCTTGGCCACGCCCTTCATGTCTCGAGGCACCTGTTTGGCCAATTCACCAGGTGGCATTTCCAGATACATGCCGACCTCAGGACAGGGCTGCACCATAGGGATGTTGAAGCCGTCACTTCCTCCTGAACAGGCACACACAAAAAAAAAACAAGTACGAAAAAGTATTTAAAAACAAGTCATGTGTTTTCATGTTTTTATTATTCTCAAAACCTACCTTCTCTGTCGGCCATGCTGTCAAAGAAGATCCAGTCCTCAGTGTTTGGTCCGTATTTGATGAAGGACACGTAGTGGCTCGTCTCGATGCAGAGGACGGCGAACAGCTCCAGTTTGTCTCTGGTCGGAGTGTGAGTGAACACGTGAGGCAGGAAATCTTTGGGGATGTCCAGGGCCACAGGTTGATGGGACCTTCGCTGAGGATGAGAGTGAACCTGAGAAGAACATCAGAACTTTGGAGCTTAAACACACCGACAAATTCAACTTGGACACACAAACAGGGTTTTCAGACTCATCACCACATTTCCAAACACAAACCGTCTGGTTTCAACAACAGCATAAGACCTGCATTCAGCTACCAACATAATATGTGCAATGAATGGAGTCAACACATCACAACACAAACCTTATCTGAGCATGTCTGGCAAAATACTTTAAATCCACATTGATTGAAAGCAGGATCTTGAAAACAGCCTTGACATCGGAAGGTAGCCAAGTCTCCACAAAATATACACTGCTGTGGACCTAGAACACACACACACACACATCAGTGTGTGTTAGCCTTCACATCCTCCATTTTCACCGTGCATGTTAACCTGTGTGTGTTTGTTAGTTTGTTTACCCTCTGCCAGGTCAGTGACGTCCAGCTCCAGAGACGGAATGATTTTGTCAAACATTTTGAATTTCTTCCCAAAGCGAGGCATCTGGAGGATGAGGCAGGACGGCACCTGTGGTGATACAGTCATGAGAAGAGCAGATTCGATGAGCCACACTGCATGGACATCAGCTCACCCCTGGGGCAAATGTAGCTGTGAGAACTACGCAACACTGCCCTCTACCGGTAAATTATGTGGTCTTTATACGTCAAAAAAAAAGAAAGAAGGATGAGACATACTTACAAGTCTGAACAACAAAATATTTTTGTGAACCACAACACCAATTAAACATAAGTCCAGTAGCGTTCACCTCTGCCATCGTGAGTCCTTCACTGTGGAGAGAATGTTCCAGCAGCTGCTGCACTGTCGGCAGCACCAGACTGTGTTTCTGATCCAGGAAGACTTGATAGCAGTAGCTCTCAACGACTTTACCCCGGGCTGAGCTGAATGGAAGAAGACACAGCGAACAAGTCATTAGACTTGGTTACACAAGTTTGACTATACTTTGAATTCACCGTAGATATTGTAAGCGTACAGTTTGAGGAGAGGGTCCAGAGCAAGAATTTGGTGCATGATAACGATGAGGAACTCCTCTGGATCTGAAAGAACCAAACACTGCTTTTAAGCAAAAACACTAAACAAAAAGTGTTCTTCACTCACTGTAGGGCGACACCAACCTTTCTCATCAGTGGTGAAGGAATGACTGTAGCCGTGTTTCTGCAGCTGCTGCCGGAGCCGCATGACGTGCCGACTTTCTACAAAGCCCTTGCTGCAAAAAAAAGGCAAACAAACCCATAAAATATGTCTACAGCTACAAGGACTTAAGGGTTGTTGAATTAAATAAATTATATTTTCACTTATGGCAATTTTTAGCAGGTGAAGGTGTTGTTTGAAAAAATGCACCTGCGCAGAGGGTTGACAATGTCACAGAGCAGTATTTTCTGGATGAAAGTGTCCTGCGGTGATGTTGACTTGTACAACATGGAGTCCAACACAGACGAACAGGAAAACAAACTATTGAAAAGAGCATAAGTTTAAAAACCAAATGACTTCCTGCCAAAACACAGAGCATATTTATTGTTTTCTAAATTTTTATTTTCATTATTAAAACAACAATTTGTCCAAATAAATGTAAACATCTCACGACACAATCTTGACTGTGTGCAGAATTACACTGAATCATTAGAAATTTTAAAAATGTCATTATGCCGACCTAAAGAGGGCAGCATCCATGTAGCAGGAGTTGTGGTGGCCTTGTATTCCCTTCATTTTTCCAATCAGAACACTGTCCACCTTCTCCGTGCTGACTGGAGGAACGGTCTCTGGTCTGCCTGTACGGTGATCGATCTCTGGTTCTAATTAGAATACAAACAACCAGATATATGCACATTGTTTGATATCATGCATGAAGTAAAGACACTTCACTGAATTTGTGGTGGTGATGAAGTGCTGTCCCCTGCTGTTAGACCATCTAGGAACTGCAGAGATTGAATAATTGAATAATGCCCTCACACTCATAACACATTTTGCCTGGACACATATTTTGACAGGGCTCTGTATTGCCAGGTTCCTCATGATAAGATACTGTCACTTTATTTTGCCCACAATAACGATAATATCACAATACTGAGTTTCTGCGATAATTGAATTATTGCAAATAATTTCATCCACGTTTCATCACGATATCTGTGTTACTGAAGACATTCAGGATTCAGTGACTGCACAGAATCTATTTCATGAAATTACCAAATATTGTCAATTAATTTTACATGAATGCCACTCATGCGACCTCCTGCCACAGTACCACGGGGTATTAAGTTTGTGGTGCCATAGTATAATAGGGTCCCCGCACGTAAAGCCAGAAGTCAAATGCTGGCTAGCTTAATCTGGAGTGTTTTGATTTCTGCACACGCTACTTCCCTCGCGCAGTGGTCTCTGGCGCCATCGTGTGGAGGCTTCAAAAACTGCAGCAGGTTTTTGTGAGAGAATCTGATTAGAACGAGTGCATCTCTACTGTTTCTCTAAATTATCGATATTTGCCGCCAGTAATAATAATAAATAATCAGTAATGTGAATATCGCGATATATGGTACTACTGATATTTTAGCAGATGCCTATTTTTCAACATGATAGTGATCTCATGCAATAACAGCAAAAATGCTAATAGAAAAGCAAAAAGCTGTATTTTGAGATGTGCAGACAGAAGTGAAGTGAGGCGATGAATCTTGGCCTTACCTTCGTCTTCCACTTTGACCTTGTTACAGTGATTGACTGATGGACTCTGAAATCTGGAGTCAGGACGGCAGGAACTCAGCTTCACAAACAGAGCCCTCTTAGGTGGACACATGAAGAACCGTTTCTTCCTGAAGGTGCCATCACTTGTTCCCTTGTCTTCCTCCTGCAGAGAGAGAAGATGAATGAAAAGAGTTATGTGTTCACAAAGTACTTAGTACTGATGTGAATGGGTTTGGTTTAGGGATGGACCAATACTAGTATTGGCTTCACAGAAGACAGATTACGATTTAAACCTCACCAAGTCACTTTTCTGTTGATTTGTTTATATTAAATGGGGTTTATATGAACTTAGAAAGAGGGTTGGATAAACTTTACCAGTTCCAGTCCCACCATGACGTCCTGTTTATCACCCAAAGTGCCCATCCATCGAATAATTCCATAGGTATTGCCATGCAACGTCACCTCTACCATAGAATTCACACCCAGACCCATGTATGATTCTGCAGAGTCTGCTCCTGCCTGTGGTATGTCCATATCCATCACCTCTGGTTCTAAAATGTAGAATATGTAGAATCAGAATCATCACACATCCAACTATAAATGTGGTTACATGAAGAGCTGTTCAAACCTGCAGACACCTCTCGCTTCGACACATGCTGAAGTGGAACTTCCACTACAGGATCTGTTTTTCCATTTTTATCTGTATCCTGAAACGAGAACAGATAGACATGTAAATGCATTGCACTCTGTCAGCATTGTACAGCATGTACAAAACAACATGGAACAGGGAACATGACTGACTGTGGAGATTAGAACCGAATGTTTCTGCACTTTCAGCACCATTCCACCACCCGCTTCACCACCAATAAAGTAAGTGACTCTGTCCCCTGAATGTAGCTCCATTGGTTGTTGCTGTGGAGATCGAGGTCTGACTGATGGTGTGGGTGGAGGATATTCTAAAGATTTAACTTTAGTGAATGGCACAAAGAGACCACAGTATTTTTCACAGGTGAAGAAGGTTTCACCCAGGTAAGTCCCATCGTTGTCACCCTTTCCTTTATCTTGGTCCTGTAAATCGAGACAAGCCTTTAGTTATACAATATCCTAGGGGTAAACAAGTGTATTACGGTGAAAAGAGCGGTGTCCTAGGACATCTGAGGCATCACTGCCAATCACTTTTTTTGTTTTGTTATTGTAAACAATGCCAAACCCTGCTGGTTGACAGTAGTACTACCACATAAACAGCAATTCAAGGTCCCTTCAGAAAAACAACCTGCACAAAAAAACGATCTTTTATATGTTTTTTAGTTATGAAATCATTCAGAATTTAAAGAAACTAAAAACATTTAAATAAAAATATTATTATTGTTTCACTTGTTTTATTCATTTTACTATCATTAACAATAGCACTGCAAATGACCATAAATCATATTTAATATAAATTAAATGTAGAAAAAGAAAAAGAGAGAAAATATACCGGTATTGTTCCTTTTATCGAACACTCACCAGTAGTTCAATGCCAAAGAACCTTCCCAATATGGGAAAATTCAATTTTTTTTTTTTATTTTTTCCAATGTAACGAATTACACCCAGAAGCTCCTCTGCTCCTTTCTGTACAACAACTGAAGTGCCCACAGTGAGTTCAAGAGCTGTTTGGAGAGCAACTTCCTCTCGGAACCATTTCAGTCGTTCTTCATCATTCTGCAGAGCACACAGTAGCTCGGCACGTTCCACACTGAGTTTGCTCAGGCATGTGAATTCTATTGAAAAATCTAACTGTGCAAATGAGTCGACGGGGATAACTGACAGTTTTGAGGCGTCACCTCTCTTCTTGTACACTGTTTTTCTGCAGTAGCATAAATGACCTGCATCAATGTGTCCAGGAAATTTTGGTTTTTCAGTTAGTATGAAGTATATGTTCTCTGCTGAAGTCATGATTTTGAAACCAGGCTGGCCTATTAAACCTGAAAGAGAAAACACACATTTGTGATTTCTTTAGAGAAATCTTTTTGACATAAACACTTTGAATTGACACCTAACCTGCAGTCAATCAATGATTTAGATTTAAGTACTGTATATATTTATTTTATATCTAAATGTGGCATTCGTCCACTTTGGACCTCATAATCAAGTCAGTATTCATTTAAATAGGGTAAGAAAATACATTTTGTACAATCAATCATCATTGGTAGGTAACTGTTGGTTATAGTTATTTGATTAATATTGACCAACCTACAGAATACGATTTGGTTTAAGAAATCTTTTTTTCCTTCCCTTGAATTTACAGTTGCTCTTTTTTTTTTTTTTTTAAGAAGTCCTTGAACTAGTGTTCTGTCTCATTGACACTTTACTTTGGTTCCTATAGGGTAAACAATACTGTATATATACAGGATACTAAACCTGAGAAATGAAAGTCGTTCATATAAAACTACGAACTGCAGTCAATGGTAAACAAACATTAAAAATGAAAGTGAAGAGCGATTTTAGCTACGTTGTATATTAAATGATTTCTCTCTCTTATTTGTAAGACATATTAAGCTAGTTTGAGTTACCTTCGAATGTCGAGCAACTCCGAATTTAGATTACACGTCTAGTCTCGAGGCCTCAACGTCTTTCACTTTCACTTCCTTACTCATTCAATTTTCTCTTTGAGCGGAGCATCGCTCAGCTCGACGACTGTGCTCTAAAAACGAATATGAGTAGTGATTAAAGGTCTACACACCAGGACAACACAGAGTTTGTGTTTGTTGAAAGTGAAGTCCAAGTCTGAAATGCGTCCAATTCATCTGACAGCCTTCAGAACGCCGTGCTCAATGTCGTGGGAAATTGTATTCTCAGTCAGGTCTGAAAGGCAGCCGCAGTTGCCGTATATTACCGTATAAAAAACTTTAAATTCTTATTTATTGTCATTATGCTATGTTAGTTGAAAAAAAAAGTATATAGCATATGTACAATTAAACAACTGTTGCGCATTTACATGCAGGAAATTGTGTCTCTCCCTTTATTCTGATGAATACAATAATAAATGATACACAAAGCTCTCTTGTAGAGCAAAATTTCAAAATTTTACGAATAGGTAAACCTTATTTAAAAAAACAATACAAAAGGAAATCGCTAGTTGTGAACCTGCAAGACACTGCATGGAAACAAAAGTGACCACTCTTAACGTCCTCTCTGATTGGGCAATATCTACAGCGTCATCAGACTAGTTTAAACAGTCGCAGTTTGTTGACGTACAGATTTAGTCGTAAACATGGAGGAGCGTGAAGCGCTGAAGAGGCAAATTGAACTTCTTCAAGGTAGTTACATCTTTGCGCGTACTGTATTAACATTTGCATGAGACGGAGGGGTTTTTACAGATAGAGTCAGGCTAGTTTAAAAACATTAGCTTCGATTTAAAGGGAATCGTCAGATTGTCCGTTAAACCACGAATTTGAACTACTCTGGTGTCTATAAATAAAACACGTAACTGCCGTTTGGTTTATAGTGTACGCTGTATTGAATGCTACAGGTCTTATTGTAATGAAGCCGAATCCAAAAAAAATATATTCAAGGTGCAAAGAACCACTTGCTGAGTGTTGCATTAGTCAGTGTTCTCTGTGTTACCGAAACGCAGTATTTTCTTGTTGCTTTACTTCAGACTGCAAAGAAATCAAGTTAAACCAAGGTCAGAATTATTAACAAATGAAATCTAGTCAGTTGTTTATACGTCTTGCAACGTTATATACGTTGTTAAGCTTTTTATTTTTGTCAAAACTAACTAGTGTAAATCACCGCCAGAAGAGCATAGTCACTGGTCTCAAGTTCAGTCAGCAATGGTTCTATTGGATTCAAACAAGGACATGTTCATGCAGGTCAGATCAGATCCAACTGTGTAAACTGTATAGGCCTAGTCATTCTCTTGTGACCCAGTTGTTGACAGTTTGACATATTTTGATGACCTCATATATATATATATATATATATATATATATATATATATTGTGTGGAAGCCTTGACATGTTTTACTCAAGTCACTATAGAAATACTTTTTCTTCTATCTAAAACATTAGTCTGTGGTTTTACTTTGATAATAATTTGCAGACACGTTTTCATGTTTTATGAAGACTGTGTATTGCACAAAAAGGCTCTTTGTACCTTTGCTAAGAAACAGACGTCTTGCATACAATTCTCGCATCACTGTTAATATTAGTTCTTATCATCTGGGAATGCACATGGATAGCCACTGCCAAATGGTAGCAGTGTAAACTCTTCTTCTGAAAACTGAAACATTTTCAAGCCATTATATATATATATATTTTAAACTTTTTATGCATAAACAAAACTTAAAAGCACAAACAGAACACATGACAGGTGGCTGATCTAAAGACCAACAGAGACCAGCAGAGACTTGTTGAGTCTTGATTGAAATCACAGTCCAGGAAGTAGAAAGTTGAGTGTGTGGCCGATCACAGGGTATGTTCGCACTTTCCAGGTGTGAACTCCCTAGCGTTGGGGTTGAGGTTGCTAGTAATCGCGTTGTCGAAGTCTGTGTTTAACTGGACATCAATGTTGAGGTCAAGCAAACTGACCTGCTCCTCGAGCTGATTGACATTATGAGGGACGAGGTCTCTGGATGGAATAAACCACTCCCACTCTTCCTCCTCCAACATCTCCAGAAAACATTGCTCCATAAACTCCTCCTCCCATAGCTCCTCCTCCACCTGTCTGTCAAATTCTTCCTCGTTTTCCATCCACATGTACTCAGCAAATGGGTCTTCCTCAGAACTTGCCTGGCTGTGTCGGGTCACGTTGGTGTTCATCCTCACGGTTGTCTCAGAGTTCCTGCCCAGATGTGGTTTTTGCTCCAACTGCCAAATCTCAGTCATTTTTCGCGCAGTACATCCAAATGCCCTTGTGCTCAGTAAGCAGATTTATTAGGGTATCGACTATGATGTGAACAAGTCTTTTCTACTTTCCTAAATTGTATTTTTCTACAGTCAGTTTTTTCTGTCAGATAATACGTAAAAGAAGAGACACAGAGAAACCTCCTGACTTTAATTATTACAAACAAATCATAGAGTGAACATATCTGCCCAGGCTGAAGTAGAGTTGTGTTACAGGTTGTTAAAGATCAAAGTTAATTACTAATAAAGTGCAGAGGGTGACTTTGGCTTTGAAGTCTGAAATGTTCAGGAGGAGGTCAGATGTCAGGAATAAGCCACTATTGTGGGTAGACTTCTTATTGCCTGTATACTAGTCACGTGACATATGATTGTCCAAGCAAGAGGTTAAGAGTCATCTGCCTATCTGTCCGATCTGGTCCAAAGATGGAACCCCTGTTGTATATGTTGTAACATTAATATATATTTTATAATTTGTATTAAATATGTATATATTAAACCAAGCCTAATGTAACGTTTTAAGCCACCTTGTTATTTTTACATTAAAGTACTAAGCAATTAAAATAATTGCAAGCCTCCTAGTTGCAAACCTCCCGGCAGTACTCCCATGGTCCCCTAGGGGTGTTGACTCCCTGTTGGAAAAACCTCAGCTTTTAGATAAAAGCCAGCAATTTTCTTGTTCTCAAGTGTATGCTGAGCTGAGTAAATCATTTTCAGTTAATTAACAAGTCTATGTTTAGTCAAAACATGGAGGAAAGAGATGTGATCATCAGGCAAATAGAACTTCTTCAAGGTATTTCTGATACTGCATGGCTACTAAATGTAGAACTACCAGATACTGGGTCACAGATGAGTTTTTCCACGTCTCCTACATGCACTTCCAAATGTTAATTGTAGACCAGTGATCACAGCTTGATTTTAAGTTTAGCATTTTATACTCCTTATATAAACTTATTGTTTGACAATCATATCATTAACAGATCTCATCAACAAACACAAGAGTGTCCATGGAGATGTTCCGTCTACCACTGAGCAGAGGCATCAGCATGTACCACCGTCAGCCAGAGGTCACAGAGGTCACAGCAGATCCCTGGTTCACCCATACACCTCCAGAGGAGGACTTTATAGTCATGAGTCTCGTGGATGTTGGCGGAAAACACACTCTCTCAGAAACAAAGGCCCGCAATCCACTGTTGGACACCACTCCTCTACCTCCTCCCCCACAGCCCAGTCTAGTGCCCCCCCTGTCCCACCTGCCAGTAGCAGCATCTCAGCGCCCAGCTGCAGCAAAGAACCAGAAACGGATAGAACTAAAGCAGCTGCTTCATCAACTACTGGAGTTCCCGAACCAAATAGTACGTTATTGTCCTCTACTTTGGGAAAAGGAACAAAGTTACCCTCCACCATTCCCAGCCAAGCTTCAGTAACCAAGTCAAAGTTTACTTGGGTGAAGAGCCAGGATATGGGAGGCGAAGAATCTAAAAAAAGTAGCGTAATCTCTCCACCAGCCAATAAAACTGTGAAGGTTTCACCAACACCAGCCACAAAAACTGCAGCTGCCAGTGGAGGCTCACCAACAGTGTTTAAGCGAGCCAGTGCCAAGAAGCTTCCCAGAAAACTCAGCCCTGTCACTGTGGACCCCAAGGCCTCCAAGTACAAATGGGTTTCCGCAAAAGCCAAGGTCCCCAGGAAACCACTGTCACCCAAAACCTTGACTCTACAGAGAACTCCAGAAATGGTCGAGGTCACCAAGAGAATAAGAACGCCCACCTCTTCTTCTGCAAAAATCAAAAGAACAAGCATCTCTACGCCGTCCAGTCGCTATCGATGGAAGGCTGCGGGGCAGATTACAGCTGCAGGGGCAACAGCACGAGCAACGGGGACTCAACGGAAGTCTGCCTTCCACTGGACGGCAGACAAAAGTCACAAGGGAGGGAGAGGAACTGCCTCCTCTTCCACCTCCTCTGCCTCCTCTCCTGCTGGATTCAAGCTACGCAGTAGAATGAAGATCATTAGGAAGTCTGCTAAAAGGTACATTCTTTTTTTTAATTAAAGCAAAGGAGAAAAAATAAACAAATGTTTAATAAATGTTTATTATTTGTTATATATTATTATTTTGGGTAAGGTTATTAATGTGAAGTGAGAATAAACAGATAATTGGGAATGGATTATTTGTTCATTTCAATTGATCTACATTAGCGTCGTTCCTTTCTGCTCGATTTTTATTTTGCCAGAAGGTGGCAGCAAAGCACACATCAAATACATACTTTTTTTATTTGCCCGTTTGCTTTCTGTTAACTTACATTTTTTCTAGCCATAACCAGCCAGATGATAAATTTCCACTGATGATCCCGTCTTTTCTTTGCCCTCTCTGTTTTTGACCTCAGTGGAGGTGGGTCAGAAAGAGGAAGCAGCCC